CAAGGCCATTAACTGGGCTCAGCTCTGATGTGTCATCTCAGACATAGAGAGCCTTGCAGAATATTCCAGCACCCGGAGCACATTTTATTGCAGCCTGCTGGGTGTATGTATGTGTTTATTGTGTGGGAGTTGCATGGAAATGAAGTCAGCACAATTCTCTGTTGCAGAATTGTGTGTCCAACATGCACGCTTGTAATCTTCGGGCCAATACTGAGGCACCAGTTACAAGATGGATCTTTTTGTTTTCCATTCAGAGAAACCAGGAGGCCATAAAGCAGGCTATTGCCGCATTTGTGTCTTTTTCACCAGGCCATTGAACATGTAGAGTAATTGCTGATATAGTTGTCACAATATGACTCTTTAAAGAATGAGAGCTTAACAACCCGAAGCTCAGCAGTGATTTCAAATTGTGCAGATAATGAAAATGGAGAACCAATTAAACATTTGGAAGTGAACTGTGATAATGTGATGCCACCTTTCCTCAAGCAGCAACATTTATTCACTCAATTGTAGAGAGTACAAAGCTTTAAAAAAATGTGTTAATTCTTAAGAAGAGGCCTTGAATTGTCCAAATACTCGTGAATGGGTGGAGCTGTTGCTCTGTCCTGATCGAAGTGTAACTTGCTTTGTTTGGGTTTTTTATTCATGAAGTCTTCACTATGTGGTCAAAGGCATCCAAAAGTAATCCTCCTGGTTTTTTTTTCTTTAAATTTCATTATAAAGTTTTTGTCAGAAGCTCCCAGTTTTCCTCATTCCACATCAGTATGCTGCAGAGAAAATAATCAGCAGATCAGCGGGCCCTTGGGTCCTTGCGCTCAACACTTAACCAAACTCCTTTCTCATGCACCAGCACTAGGAAATCCCACTGAGATCAGTAGCATGAGAATGCGTTATCAATCAGCTTGTAGCTGCGGCGACGTCCCTGGCGTTGCAGAGTGTATCAATGCAACTGTGCAAGGTCACACAGAAAATTCCTTGCCAGAGGTAAAAGAATGCCGTGTTCCCATTATGAAGAGAGAGCTCAGTCTCATGAATATATACGTCAGGTGGCGTACTGCCTTAATGGAAATGTTTTGGTTTCAGTGCGCCACTTTCCATTGCTGGACCACCATGATGGTGATGAGCCTTTACACATTCTTGCTATTCATCTTTGCCCTTCAGTCTTGTTTAACAATCTTGTCACGTCACACCTAGTGCACTTGTGTAGCCACACTGACCTTGGAAATGACCTTAGCTGGTATTAATGTTATTGGAATTCTGTGAAGCCGATGTAACCGCTATTAACATTGTGTATGTATGGAGTTAATTTTTATGGGCCATCCACCTCTTTAATCTTGACATATTGAGCCGAGTGATTTGATGGCAGAGGAATGCTGATGCTTTCAATGTACCGCCTCCGTGAAGGACGGAATCAACGTCATCATCACTTTTACAGTAGCTTATAAATGGATGCAGGGCATCTTTCTATCCCCCAACCTCCCCTTCACTTCATTCCATTTTATCCTGGAAGAATTCTCTTCCAGGATTTTTCACCTTTGCGTTTTATCAGGGTGGGCAATTTAAATGCTGAAGGGGGCCACAATTTTTCATAATTATCATCATCACGTGACGGGACACATAGGACGTATGACAAAAATGCTATTTTCGACATGGAGGTGCTCAATACGTACTGTTAATATATTTTATTTTCATCATACATTTGTCACTGTATGTATCGATGAAATACTGTTCTGACCCAATTACAAAAGGTTTGAAGCAAACAATAAAATAACCTCATATTGTGATTTTTATTTTATTTTATTCCCCAGTGCAAATGGCTGTCTTGCATGCAAAGACGACGCAAAACAAAAGAATAGCAAGCCAACGTTAAGTGCAAAAACTTTTGTGGATTTTTTTTCACAAAAAAAAAAACATCCATCCATTTTGTCATCCGCATATCCGTGCAAACCAGTCGATCACAGTTCGCCTCACAAAAAAACAACTCACTCAAAATGTTCATATTATGGAGGTGCTGTTTGTTCTGCAAATCATTCCAAATCTGCAAAAATAAAATTAAGTCTCCTCGTGTTCTGTATAGAGCAATATAAGACCTGGTGTAAACTCAATTAAACCATGTCTGCCACCTAGTGGTGATTGGCGATATTACAACTTAAAAATACAGTCGAATATTACAACTTAAAAATACAGTCGATCTATATTCGCAGTTCGGCACTCACAAAATCACAGATTTTCTTCCTTTTTTCCCAATATTTTTAATGTGGTTGGGGTTTTTTTTTTCATTTTTCCCCAGGACGCCCCCCCCACCCTCCACACACCCTTACCTCCAATCTTCTTATTTATCTTTATTGGCATATTTATGTATTTATTGGCACACAAATGATCGGGGGTTGGTGGCAGTCAAGTTCCCACTTCATATGTTGTGGACCTGGATGTGCCCGCTTTTCCCATGTCAAAAACAGGTTGTCTGTGCTCCGCCATATTCGTTAGTACACAACCTGTGCGCCACATTTAAATGAAATGAGGCCAGATGCTTTGATTGGCCGTGATTGGAGGCAGGTGTGATCACTCCCACGGTAGCAGAGACCTTCCTCTGTCAGATCCACCAATCTGCGGTCTAATCCGCCTCTGTGCAGTTACTCCTTGCAGGATTTATGCCGTTGGTGAAAATAGAGCCTCTTCGGTATAATTGTGTGAACATTTGTCTAAATCAGATGTTTTGTATGTGTGCCTTGTGATTTACTGGGACGAGTTGAGGTTGTTACTGGCAACCAAGTTGGAACCCACCGCTCATCCAAAGTCTGCTGGGATACACTCCTGTTTAGCCGTGACCCTAATTAGGAAAAAAGCCAAAGAAGAAGGTTGCATGGATTGATATTCAGAGTCAAACTTTACTGCAAAAGTTGCATTGAGAATATCTCCTCATAGCAAATTGTTCTTTCGGAACACTGACCCCCCAACCAGGGTCAAGCAATCTTAAATTAGATGTATCAGCATGCACGCCTTCATAGCTACTGCCCTCCTGCATTATGCATACACTTGAGCAATAACATACTGGTGTTATTCACTGAGAAAGCAAGAAAAATGTTGAACTCCATCACGCAATGACTTTCCTTCTCTGGCCTCTGCTCACAGCCCCTATATAGAATTTTGTGATTTAGTTTTTACAAAATCCTTTGTATATCGTCATCAAACAAACTATTGAAAACATAACCACTTTGGTGTGACAAGTTTTTCAGTGTGCATTGCATACTGTATGATAAAATATGTAAATGAGCATTTAAGTGTTTGTGTATTTGCGCGTATGATTTATATGTCGTACAGAAGTCATTTTTGTATTTGCCGTTGAAGCCCTTTGATTCATTCAAGCATTGGACTTCTCAGCCGCAGTGGCCATTCGACATGCGACCGATATGTGTAATATAAGCCAACAGCCTGCAATTCTCTTTTTATGGCCCTTCAATTTTTAGTGCCTGTTAAAACTGGCAAAAAGTCATCATTCTTATTCGTGTTTACTACTTGGGTTGTAGTAGCTCTGTTCAAAAGAATTACGTTGAAAAGCATTTCAAATGTTCCACCAGACTTTTACAGGTTAGAAGCGTGCCAAATTTATGACACGTTTGCCGGGTAGGGCAGTTTAACACAATTTTTACCTTAGACCAGGGGTGTCACATTGTGGGCCACATACGGCCTCGGTAGATGTCAAATGGGCCGGACCATTAAAATTATACCATGCTCTGCTATAAATAACCAAAGTAATATGTCATTCCTTTGTTTTGGTGTAAAGAAGCACAAAAACACTAGGAAAATGTTGAAATGTAATGAACATATCTTTTACAAAACGTTTCATGAAGCACCGTAGATTTCCTTAGACAAATGTGCAATTTACTTTTATCATTCACATATATGCATTGCAACTGATCCCACTGATTGTACAAAGGCACAAAACTTTTACAATTGGTATTGAAAAATATAATAATGCACTTAAAGATTAAGCTATATTTGTAAAGAAAGGAATTTTTAAATCATTTACATATATGCATATAAAATCAAAATTTAATCCCTGCCTACACCTTACAAAGTAAAGAGAGTGCTATTAAATGTGTAAAGAATAAAGTATTCACATGTCCTTGATCCCGTCTGCTGTGTTGGGTCTGTGTCAGTGACAGACTGAGACCGCTGTTGTCTTCTTCTCTGATCAAAATAATGTTGCCTTTTACTCTGATCAAAACAATGTGCCCCCTGCCGGATACAGTGTGAATTGCACTTTATTAAAAATATTCATTCCGTGTCTTTTATGAATTTTTTCACTTTTAAATTATCCCGCGGGCCTGATTGAACCTCCTTGGGGGCCGGTTATGGCCCGCGGGCCGTATGTTTGACACCCATGCATTGGTCCAAAGCCGACATTATAATTTTTAAAGGAAGAAATGGGAGCAGATGACTTCAGATTGTCCAAGTGGATTGAAGGTTCTTCCAGAAGGGAAAGAATCAAATGATGTCAGTTTTCATCCAAGGCAATTTAGAGTAAGAGCACTTAAGAGTCATCCAGCTTCAAATGGCTCTTCTTGTCTTCACACCGATGCTTGGGCACTCTTATTTTTGATTTAGCAAAGATTTACAGCCCACATTTGTTCACTGAGATGGATGAGCGCTCTTAACATAATCCCTGATGAAATTGTTTGAGCACTCTCAAAAAGTAGAGCCCCCCCCCCCCCAATAAAATGCTTGACTCATGCTATGAGAAGACACGCACCACCCACTAAAAATAACTCGACTATCACGATCAGTATCACAAAACCTTTGTTTCATTTGCCACACTGGCTTGGTAGAATTTTGTCACGCACCTATGGATAATTAAATGTAATCTTTCCATGCATACTTTTGGAATGTGGGAGCAAGTCATTGTAGATGAAGAAAACACAACAATTTCAAGTTCAAATTGTATTGTTTACATTCACGTCAGGTTCCTTCCATTAAAAGTCCCCTCTCCGCTTTTCCAGGCATGCACACCAGCATCAGCGAGATCCTGAAGGAGAAGAGCCTGAAGCCATCCCGCCGCAGTCTGCCCTGCCTGGCCCAGAGTCAGACCCATCCCATCAACCTCAACCACTTCCTGTCTGTACCTCTGAGCCCGGAGCCCAAAGCCCAAGTAGAGGTTCTGAGTCAGAGCATCAGCACCTCCTGCAGCCTCCTGCCGCCACAGACAGGTCAGTATCATCACAGACAGGAGTTACATCACCAGTCTGCGTCACTATGTGTATGTGTGTATGTGCTGTAAACACTTGCCTTAGGGGTTGTCATATTCACACCGAAAGATATGTTTACAGGATTCTAACAAGATGATGTCGCAAGTTAGTTAGCGGAATATCCACCGTCTCTGATAGTGTTCGCCAATCACACTTCACTCACGATTTTCCCAGCCACCATTTTCAACACTTGATGGCCTTATTGGTATCCAAACACTTCAGCCTTGAAAATGGGTCCTTGTTAGAAGCATCTGTGAAGTGCAATTTTACGATTGTTGACTTCTACTACCTGCAATTAACCGATACTCAGTTGCATCAGGTCTGTGACAAATATAATTAAAAGTTTTTATGTCTAATATAGTGTTGTGCCTGGGCGGCATGGTGGACGAGTGGTTAGCGCGTCGACCTCGCAGTGCAGAGGTCGTGAGTTTGATCCCGGCTCCGGCCTTCTTGTGTGGGGTTTGCATGTTCTCCCCGGGGCTGCGTGGGTTTTCTCCGGGTACTCCAGTTTCCTCCCACATTCCAAATACATGCATGGCAGGCTGATTGAATGCTCTAAATTGTCCCTAGGTGTGAGTGTGAGCGCGGATGGTTGTTCGTCGCTTTGTGCCCTGCGATTGGCTGGCAACCAGTTCAGGATGTCCCCCGCCGATTGCCCGAAGACGGCTGGGCTAGGCTCCAGCAACCCCCGTGACCCTTGTGAGGATAAAGCCGATCCGAAAATGGATGGATGGATGGATAGCGTTGTGCCATCATTGCCTCCATACTTGTCTTATGCATACTGTGCGACTGGCAGGACTGCAGACGACACAAGAAAAAGAAGAAAAAGACAATGTTACAATGTAATATGCAGCTTCAAGTTCATAAAGTGGTCCTGCACACCACCGTATAGAAATATTCCTTTCTGAAAGGAGTCTTTCATTTGTTTCAGTGTGCATTTCTCCCTCAGCACAGTGACTGGTTAAGTTTAGAAAAAAAAATTAATAATTGCTCCAAGAAGATACATGCCGGTATGCGCAAGATTCATTAACATAAAATATCTGCATTGCGCATTGTAGTTTTGTGCGTGTGCTGTTTTTCTCCCTGAAGAAAATCTTACCTAATTTTTCATCAACTAAAATCGATATTAAAACTAATAAAAACTAGATTAAAACAAAGCAAAAAAAAATACAAAAAAAAGAAACACACCCGAAAAAACTCATTAGAAAAAAATGAATTTGAAAAGTAACAGTCAAAACGAAATAAAAAAAATAACTATCATGAGAAATCCCCAACTATTATATCCCTACCTTGTGTCAGATGTTTTGCAGATACAATTATTGCCCTTTGTGTGTGCATGTGTCCAGCAGAGGATGACAAGGATGAATACACGGAAGAGTCCGAGGCAACTGCTTGTGAAGCCAGAATAGACGGGTCACTTCTGCCTCGAAAGCCCAGCACACGGGCTAAGCTCGAGGCCCGCACAGATTCCGTCAAGGTAACTAACGTGTCCTCAATAATCTGCATTCACGATTATAAACCCAAAAGCTGTTTCACCACTGTCTCATTACTTTTTAGCATTGCAAGCTCATTTTGATGATCTGATTGATTCATTGCTTCTGCAGGGCAGGAATCCGTCAGATGCATCTGGACTCTTCTTTCGCGATGGGAAAAAGCGCATTGACTACATCCTGGTTTATAAGAAGTCCAGTCCGCTGGTGGAAAAAAGGTGTACCTTTGAGAAGAATTTACGTGCTCAGGGCTTAATGCTGGAAAAGGAGGTGACAACCACTCTCAAAGATGAAAAAGAGGCAAAAAAATACTCAGATTTAAATCCATTTTTTTTTCCCATTAAGCCAACACTTCTGTATTTTCTCTGACTCTCAAAGCCTTCCTTGACGAACAATGACATCATGTTTGTCAAAATCCACACTCCCTGGGACACGCTTTGCAAATATGCAGAGCAGATGAACATCCGGATGCCTTTCAGGTAACACAACAAGGGATTTGATTGCAGTGCATATTTTCTTTCACTGGCTGGAAGCTTCTTTAATGTACCTCTCTTTTTTCCTGCGGAAGGAAAAAATCCCACTTTACAGACTGGAAAAGCAAAACCTTGGGCAGGTAAGTCTTTTTTGCATCAGACTGGCGGCTGAATGGTTAAATGGCAATTAAAAAAAAATAGGCAAGTGTTGAAGAGACCCCGTAGATTGGGTTTTCTTTTCAGCATATTAATGACAACATCAGCATACAAAGTGTTGAATGAGGAAAGCCTTCCAAAATGCATTTGAGAATCAGGGATGAAATGCATTATTTTGTCTCAACAATGATAGTGAATCAGACTGTCGAACAATGTCAAACACTGCCGAGAGGAACATGTCAAAAACCCTTTTCATAAAACAATACTATCAGTCATCCACAGTGACGACGATTTTCCATTAAACTATCTAAAATCTTTCCATCAAACACCGACGAGTGGCAAGGGCTTATTTGCATACTATTTTTAGAAGGATGCAGTCGCTCTTTGAAGTGATGTTCAAGTGATGTCCAAGCACCGCAACATGACTCCAAATTTCTCTGTCTTATCTCTGCAAGCAGACAGAAGCATTGCAGTGACAAGTTAAAAGTGACGAGTTTTGTTTGGTTGGGCAAAACATTCCAATTTGTAAAAGAATGCATAACCTGAAAAATTGCAAAGATTTCATTTTGGTATCTGACATTACAGTGGAATTTGAAGCGGATTTATTCTATATTTTGGCCCATATTACTGGAAAACTGTCAAATTTGTACTGAACTTTTCGTATAATTTCGCAAAGCCTTGCTGGGGTATGAATTTGCAGCATGAGGAATGATGGCCATTCGCTTTGGCTCACAGTCTTTTCCAAAGCTGTTGCACTTAAACGAAAACTCAGAGGTAAATATGTCTCTCAGTGTTTACAAATGGTCTGTCGCGAACTCACTTCCCTGTCAGGCTAAACAAATGGGCCATGTGCAGGAGGTGGCAGCTTGCTGCATCCGTATCAATATTTGTATCTGAGTACCTGCTTTCTTCATAGCAGACATTAAGCTCGCGTTCAGAAAGTCCCCGTTTATATTCATCTAATCAATACCAGGGTGGCAGCATCGTTAAGTCATTTTACAATGCCTGAAGTTGAATGTGAGGTGGCTCACAAGATTGCAATATGAGTCTGGACTCCCAAATGAAATCAGTCTGAGTTATGGACGGTGGAATGTCATAGAACCAAGAGGATGATCGGGCGGCGCTGATAGTCACATGTATTGACCACAACTGCCCTAAGCTGTGTCATGAAAATAAATGGCTATATCAAATATTATTTGCAAGTCTTTTCATCGTAAGATATGGTAGGCTTGCAAAGGTGGCCTGGCCTCTTCGCTATCAGGGGAAGAGGTCACACCTCAGAAAAACAAAAAGCGTCCGTGCATAACGCCGTGGGAAAGAGGCAAGGGGATTGGGGGGGGGGGGGCAGACCCTTGCCTATAGGTGTAGTTGATACCCTACGGACGAGACAGCACTTAATTTGCTCCATTCGCGTAACACTGCTGATCCCATCTTGAATGGCGCCTGTTGCGACAACCGCAAGCAAATATTATCATAGACAACATTTACATTACATATACAAAGATGCCGTCTTGAGTACGTTGATGCCGCAGTCACATTGGATTTGGCAAAGTGAAGCAAACCGTCCCAGGGAAGGAATACCATCTCTGTATAAAATATACGACACCAAGTGATGTAACTCAGACGACCATTGCAACTAAGATGTTTTTTTTTGTTTGTTTGTTTGTTTGCAGAGCATAAAGAATATTTGCCTCTGAGGATTCTTGTATGCTATCGCTTGTGTTAAAAAATTAGGCTTTCAAAGGGGTATAGTTAATGGTAATTTCATTGGCCTGTTCATGGCATTTAGCCTTGTGTGTTAGCATCCGGCTAGAGGATTTTCATAAAACAAAGGTTTGAGTAAATACATAACGTGAGATTGTATTACTGATTATGAGTACAGGTATGTTTAGTTTCGAAGAAGAAATACCATCATTGTATAGGTGTAGGTCGAATCAATACACTAGTTTCAAGGTCATGTTTACCAGCTCTATTGGCAGTTCATTTTTCTTGAAGTAAGTAAAGATATCCTCATTTCACTACTTCTTTTCCCTTTTGTTTTTTTATACCATTTTTTGCAGTGTATCTATAGTGTAGATTGAGCTGTCAGGGCATGCCGGTGCTGGAGTGAAAGTTATCTTTTTGTTTTTTTATACCATTTTTTTGCAGTGTATCTATAGTGTAGATTCAGCTGTCAGGGCATGCCGGTGCTGGAGTGAAAGTTAATGATCCGCTTTATAATGTCCAAGTAGACAATCTTCACGTTAATCTGTGCTGTTAATCCCGTCCTGCTGTGCTCCATCTGCGCAGCCGCTTTCATCTGAGATGTCGTCAAATCAAGAGCTGGCTTCCCAGAAATCCCATGAAGCTGGACAAGGAGGCGCTGCCTGACCTGGAGGAGACCGACTGCTACACCGCCCCCTTCAGTCGAGCACGCATGCATCAGTAAGACATTCCTTCTTTCAAATGATCATTCTAACTCGTGAATACTCAATTCTTTTGCTGTCATCAAGAAGAACAGTATTCGTTAGCCATTTGGACTGCTTTCTCTTTCTCCCATCTTCCTGATTGAAAGCAGCACTCGTGTCACTCTCCAATTTATCGTGACTGCATTCTCCTCGACAGACACTGACAGCAGTGCTACCGCAATTGGCGAGAGTTTCTGAGTCTTGCTCTGGTTGGCTCTGCACAATCATTGTCATCGTCAATAAGCTTAAACCCTTTTGGTGGTTTTGATTTATTATTTTTTAAATGGGGGGGGGGCTGGAGGGTTGTTTTGTTTTTCCATCTTATTGCGCATGTACAGTATATGCACAGTAAAATGGACTTGTCCATTGCATGTGAAGATATCAGGAACACCCGAATTGATCATGATGGATTAAGCATTAGGCTTGCCAACTAGTAAGTCCACCCATGCATACAATGTGACAGAATTTTTTGGAGTTGTATATAAACAACGAATGAACCACATATTGGCAGCGTGAAATTAGTTGATAATGGCCTCAATTTGGATAATATTTGAATTTTTCTCCAGTGACCGGTAATTAATGAATGGCAATTTTTTTTCCACCCAGCTTCACTATCAACAACAGAGAGACCTTCTTCTCCAACTCGACCAGAAGCAGAATCGTCCACCATGTCCTGCAACGCACTAAATATGAAGATGGAAAGTTGAAAATGGGTATGATGCCGACATTAATTTTGGTATTCACCGGCTTAAAATCAACACCAAGCATATGCAGCTTTAACAAATGCATACAGGGCGTAATATATTTTATTCTTTTCTGTTTTCTCTCCTTATTCTGCCTGTGTTAAAGTCAATGAAACCACAAGACAGCTCCTAAGTGCGATTAATACTTCATGAAATCTTGATCGTGGTGCACCGTTGTGCATTGGGATTGTAATTTTGGTGCGGCCTTATTTACAACACCATTTAAAACAAAATTGAGGGTTGGCTCCACTGATATTTGGTCAATATATCTTCTCATAAGCCTGCTGATGTCCACTGTTATAAGGAAGTATTGTCAGTTTTACGAGCCCAATCCAGACCAATCAGCATCAAGCGTCTTTTGGCAGTTTTTCAGGGTCACTCAGCACTTACCGTACTAGATGGACTGGGCACATTAGGTTCACCACTGATATTCTGCTTTTAGATATTTAATTAAAAATGCTGTTCAATAATGTGGATCCATATGTCTTTATGACAAAAATGAATTATTGTTGTCCTATCACGAGCCGCTGTACTGGTTATTGAGCAGTGGTACTGAACCTTGTTAGAGGTACCGAACCCAACCAGTTCATATGCACATTCACCGAACACTTCATTAGTGAAAAATTAAAATCTGTGTTTTTTTTTTTTTTTTTTTTTAACAAATTCAAGACATAAAAAATGCATTTATTAAAAAATGAAAAAAAAAAGTAAATAAAATTTCAAGACAGAAGTATATGTTTTTTTAACTGTGCACGAAATGAACCAGCCAGTGATGGCCAAGCGGGCGTGTCATAACTAATTGACATGTTGAGTCGGATGTACTTTAACCTCCATGGCAGAGGCTCCGTCGAACCCCTGAGAGTGATTCACCGAACCCCTAGGGTTCGATCGAACCCAGTTTCAGAACCACTGTTATAGAGTAACGCCTTTCTTGTGTGACAGTCAAAAAAGGCTTCATCAATGAAGAGTTTCAACGGATGCTACATGATTATTTTAAAAAAAGTCAATCCAATCTCCAATGAGGCAGGCAGGCCTTCCTCTTGATTTTGCTTGCTTTCCATCGAGGGGGGAACACACACCGCATCAATGTGATTCACACAGTACAGTATCCTGAAACGTCCTATTTATTTCTGGATTTTACAATATGCATAAATGAATGGCACGGCTTCAAATAAAACCAGCGGCTAGCGGGTTATTCTCAAGTGCAGGCAGCTGTTTAAAATTCATCTTGTTTAAACGCCTCTCATGCAAGTTTAAGACTTGCATATGCTAATGAATTGTTCCTGTAGAGGAGTAGCATTGTTTAAATACACAGCAGAGGCTCATTGTTTGACTGATTTCGACTGTAATCTGCAGGTATCAATCGCTTATTGGGCAACAACACATACGAGGCTGCCTTTCCTCCACACGAGGTAAGAAGTTTCGAATTTGTGCTGAAGAGTGTGACAAACTCCTGCTTATCTGTTCTGTTTTGTCATCAGGGTGGATACAAGAGCAGACATCCCATTAAGACTCATGGTGCCCAGAACCACAGGCACCTGCTTTATGAACGCTGGGCTCGCTGGGGGATCTGGTACAAGTACCAGCCTCTGGACCTCATCAGGTACTCTGCTTTTGGATGAGGTGACTCTTAGTTTCCCGCGCATGAGATTGTGTGTCCTAATTATGAGGCGCAGCTTGGCTTTGAATACATTGAAGAAGTGAGAGACAAAGAGTAACCTAGTTTGCCTGCGTGCGCTGCTTCGTAGGATTTAATCGGTTGTGTGAATGCTTAGGCATTTACCAAACGCTGCAGGTTTTGAAAGTGCTTCAGTAAACTCCTGCAAAGTGGCATGAGAATGAGACCTTGCCATCTGCATTAACCGCACAAAACAAGAGTGCTTTCCTCACAGCCTTCCTCCTCCACAAAGTAATTCATGAGTTGGATTAAAAGCACAGTTGCCAAAAACAGAACAGTACCTCTTGATGGGGACCAGATTTGATCATTTAAACGGGTGCCGACCTGCAGTATGTAAGGCAAATCAATAATGAAAGATAAAGAAAGATAATGACTGAACAGCAAGAAAATGGATCTTCCCTTTGGGTAGTCCGCTATAATGGCCACTTTAGAGTGCCTCATTGTCAGCAGTTACTGCACACATGTCACAGAGAGAAGTCGGCAAAAAAGTCTGACATGACAGCTAGCGTGGGGACTGGGACTTTGCAGTGGTATGGCTGCTTTACTAGAGTGCCTCATTGTCACAGCGACGAAAATCCCTGCAACCATGGGATATATTAAAGCCACTGGAGGCTTTAAGTGATATATTTTCGTTGCTCAAGCAAGTAGTAATGTGGAGGAATAAGGAAGATGCTACACAAACTAACATCCATTTTTCCAGGTCGTAGAGGATTTCATTGAAAGTTATCAACCTTTCACTCTAAAAGTATTGTACCCTGATTTTAAAGAATCAGTAGCTAGTACACATTTAAAAACATAATAAAGCAGCACAAACTTTCAGAAAATCGATGTAGCAGTTCGCTAATCCTCATTATTGGTTCTCATCACTGCATCGTATTGCACAACACATCCTCCTCACATCACAGCTTCACTCTTAATAAACATACTCGATGACCCGCTGTTGTAATAGCAGGCGCTGTCTTCTCTTCTCTGTCGCTGTCAGGCGTTACTTTGGAGAGAAAATCGGTCTTTACTTTGCGTGGTTGGGTTGGTACACCGGCATGTTGATCCCCGCTGCTCTGGTTGGCGTGTTTGTCTTCCTCTACGGCCTCTTCACTATGGACTCCAGCCAAGTCAGGTCAGGTGACATCGCCTGGGGTTACTACAGTGAGTGTGCACAGAGTTCATATGTTATAGTACTAAACTGAACTAACTACTTTTCCCTCCAGCAAAGAAATTTGTGAAGCGACCACAATCACTATGTGTCCAATGTGTGAGGAAACCTGCAAGCCGTGGAGGCTGAGTGACAGCTGTGTCTATGCAAAGGTCTGCTGTTTGTCTTCACGTGTCTTTGTTGAGTGACAATTTAAAATTGACATCGATGAAAATACAGGTGGCTCCCACCATGTGCACATTACAGTGAATCTGCAAAGCATTCATATTGCTTTTTCTGTCATTTGCTGTTCTGTGACATTGTTTCTAAATGGATTGCATTAACACACCATATAGCGTAAGTTCAATTGATCTATTTATTCATTTAGGGGAGGGGCGAGGTTTTTCAAAATGTATTCAAACTAAATAACTAACTATATTATTAATTACAGTATACTAATACTAGTTATTACTGTTAATGCCTAAAATGGAAAAAGCAATGCCAAACTAATATCCAGTAAGGATATTTATCATGAGAAGTGTAAATTGAGTGACATGTTATCTTGTGCATTAAAGACAATGCCATTCAGTTTAGAATGTTCGTTTCTGTAAACTGACGATGGGAGGATGTTATATTAAAAAATCTCGCCTGGGTGCCACGTTGGGTCGAGTTCAGGCATGACTTTGGCCTGCACTGAAGGTGTGAGTCTGTCTCCAACAGCCCACTTGGACAGACCCATTGTCTAGCTGGGGTCTGTTTTTCACTAATGTGAGACTGCCATGCCCGACACAAGCTGACCCTCTTATTTACCTTAATTGAGAAAAGAGAAATAAATCAATATGATGCATTGCAAACAACTGTGCTATTCAGATCATTAGCAGGGCATTGCTCAGGAAGCAACAAAGAAATTAAAACTCTTCCATGACAGCAATTTATTAATCTGTGTCCATAATAAAACATGAGCATTATTATAAATGTGGAATTTTTATGCAGCCCTTCTATTAAATGTCATTAAATGGCGTAGGATTAATGTTGTGTCCGGTGAGTGTAAATATTAATATTGCTTGACAAGCATGCGTGTGTGATGGAAACCTCTTTTGTGTGTCAAGGTGACCCATCTGTTTGACAATGGTGGCACTGTTTTCTTCGCTATCTTCATGGCTATTTGGGGTAGGTCCACACTGTGGGGGTTTTTTTGCATTCTCAGAATGCTCATTTTCACTTTTTGGAATTCAATGATGCCAGTTCTCATACATTCACTGTATATCCACAATCTGCAGTGTAAATATGATCTATTTTCATATAAGCAGTATCCATATGATAATGACGACGGTATATTGCAGCTTTCCCAGCTATATCGTCATTGTGTTGTGGATTCTGAATGTTACTGCAGCGCCTGACCCTCATCCATCTTTCTGCCAATGTGAAAAATAATAACCTGTTCCCAGAGGAACACTTGGCACATAGTGTTCTATGTTTGGGTTAAAGGAAGGCAGTTGAGTGCTGGAGAGCCCAGAGAGGTTCCAGCTTGCTGACTGCGGTCCCAGAATTCAGCATGCAGGCTTTTAGCAGAGTAGACCAAACTAGGCAGTATTGTTCCACATAGTGCACTTGAGGTCGGCTGTGTGTGTGTGTGTGTGTGTGTGTGTGTGTGTGTGTGTGTGTGTGTGTGTGTCTGTCTGTCTGTCTGTCTGTCTGTCTGTAAAACATTGTTTTCCCCAGGGAGACCAGTGTAGTGTGCTTTTGTGTCTCTTTAAAAAGTGGGTCAAGTTATATTAGACTTCAACATCTTTAACAGCCGTCAAAGTTATTGCTTTGCATGCTTTTGTGCTTTTGAAGCCAACGTCGTTATGACACATGCTGGCTATGTCTGTAAGTACCCCTGAACGATCTAATGAAATCAAAACCTATGTGCAAAAATAACAACACTCCATTTTGACTGACACTACTGTATAAGAGATTGAGACAGAGAGAGAGAGAGAGAGAGAGAGAGAGAGAGAGAGAGAGAAAGAGAGAGAAAGAGAGAGAGCGATACAGTAGATAGCTAGGTAGCTAGCTAGCTTTTCATAGGTCGGTATCAACGTATCAACAAACTTCAGTTGTCACAAACCAATCATTTTTGAACCTTTGTAAATTGTAGCAACGCAACTGTCATTACACATTATGAGCAATTTCTTGCAATAACAAAGGTTCAATGAATACCCCTATGAGAGTCAAAAGCATTGTTATCTTTTTTCGAGGCGGGTGATGTTTTCCAACAACTCTTGCTTTGGATGTCATTAGAATGTGATAGAGTACCCCGTATTGCGGCTGCTGTGATTAAAAGCCCGAAATCACAAATCATTTTCCTCCTAAAGCCTTTTTCTTTCCGGGTGTGTCCTGACTAATCCATACCCCGACAGAAACATAGACATCATCACCGGTTTAGTGTGCTCGTACTATCACAATAGAGCATCGGAACAAAAGCAGCCTCTCCAGACGGAATTGTACCCATTGAACGTTTGAAAGTAAAAATTGATCTTTTTCCATCAAAGGAGATTTAGGATGAAACACTGGATGTTTTCTTTAGCCAAACGACTGAAGAAATGTGAGCTGGAGGCTGTAATGAGCATCAGTAATGACTGCTTTGTGTTTGCGATGTTCCCTTTGATTCTGCCCGTAATTAGCAGTCAGGCTTGTGTTGTACCTCAAAGCTGATCAATAATGTGATGGATCCCCACAGCGACTGTCTTCCTGGAGTTCTGGAAGAGGAGGAGGGCTGAACTGACTTATGACTGGGATCTCATTGACTGGGAGGAGGAGGAGGTAGGTCAGCAAGAGCCTCAAATATAGATCCCCCTCACGCCTTGCGGTCGCCTTTTATGATTTCGTCTTCATTTTTTTGTGCCGTGCCTCGTCTAAATATGACACCGCCATTGTGCTCTGCTAAAAGCATCTGCAGTTCAATAGTTCATAACCAGAATGTGTGTCATTCATCAGGAGGAGCTGCGGCCTCAATTTGAAGCCAAATATTCCAGAGTGGAGCGAGTCAATCCCATATCTGGCAAGCCCGAGCCTTTCCAGCCCCTCTCAGACAAACTCAGCCGGCTCATGGTGTCTGTGTCCGGAATCTTCTTCATGGTAAACCCTTTGATCCCTCAATAAGCTGCCCATTGGGGCTTTTCGACTGAACAGTGATTGTGTTATTTAATCTGTGTGCTGCTACTGAAGTGATCTGATGTGCCAGCTGTGGCATTACATCACCCTCTGCTGGACAAAATTTCATGGCACAACAGAATAAGAACCTTATTTGAACTTAATTGACTTAATTGAACGGTGTACATTGAAACTGTAACATTTATTTTGTGAATTCTTCTTTCTACCCACAATCTTGCTGCTGTAGACTGTAAATTTCCCCAGTGTGGGACAAATAAAGGATATCTTATGTACAATCAATTGTACTTTACGCTATTCACAGGGCACGATGCGTTTGTTTCTTGAGATCTTGTAGCCAACTTCACTTGTGGAACAGATTCTATTTGTCAATTTTCGATTCAACAAATGTGGTGCGAGGGTGTTGCCTGTGAAATTGAACTCAGCGTTCCCAAAACTGTCGTTAGTCACAGTTACTCTGTGATTTAACAGGGGGAAGGGGCAATTACTTTTTCACATTGGGACTGGTAGTTTTGGATTTTTTTTTTTTTTTTTTTTTTTTTTAGCTTTAATAAATTAAATTGTCATTTAGAAACTGAATTTTTACAGATTTTTAATACATTTAGGTTTGTAATTTTTTTTGTGCTGCCAAATTTGAAAGAATCTCCTGTTTTGAAAATTAAAATGTGTTTTAATTTTTGAAGCCATCTCCTTTTCTGTAAATGAAGATCAGCTCCAAATATCTGTTATCGGCCTCGGTATCCGCCCTGAAAAATGTAATGGATTCATTGCTAATTTTAACAGCACTAACAGCCTATGATAATATTCTCTGCTTAGATTTCGCTGGTCCTGACAGCCGTGTTCGCAGTGGTAGTTTTCCGTCTCATTGCCATGGAGAAGTTTGCATCCTTCAACTGGCATTTTGTGAAGAAGAACTGGCAGTTCGCCACCTCTGGCACCGGTGTCTGCATCAACTTCATGATCATCATGTCGCTCAACGTGGTGGGTGTCCAGACAGGCGCATCATCTGCCATGTTTACATATCGAAGGCCAGCGAATGTTCCGTGAAACGTTTATTTTACAAGTTTATTCCCGGAAATGTCACAGCTGTGGCCAGAAAGTCTCGTTTTTGTGTGTCATTGCTGATCCTCCCCTTGCTGATGTTTGTCAGGTGTATGAAAAGGTGGCCTATCTGCTGACAAATTTAGGTGAGCACAACACACTTGCTAACATTGTTATAACTCTTGTCCCAGATTGTTGACAAGCCTTTATCCGCCCCCCCCCCCTTGTCCACACCCTGTTATCTCCCCCCGCAGAGCATCCAAGGACAGAGTCTGAATGGGAGAACAGTTTTGCTCTCAAAATGTTCCTCTTCCAATTTGTTAACTTGAACAGTTCCACGTTCTACATTGCATTCTTTCTGGGAAGGTAGGCCCGTTGCCATGAATCACATTTCCTGTTTTTACAGTGGAGAAATGTTTCCAAATCCTATGTCTGTAGATCTTCTAGAGCGCCCTTACTTTCCCTTCTCAACGTATAGCTATACAAACAAAAATATTATAGACCTCACGCTAGGGTTTGCATACAGCAGCATATTTCCAGTGGAAAGTCCAAAAAAATGTTTCCTATGGATGGACACTTGTGTAAATCTTCTGCATTTGACATGGTTCATGGGAATGCATACTAATAGATAGGATTCATGCAAAAAAAGTTATTTTATGTATGAAGTAGCGCCGTGACCGAGTGGTTAGCACGTTTGCCTCACAGGTTTAAGGGTCGGAGGTTTGAATCCAGGCTGTCCACCTGTTGCCATTCATACAACAGAATAAATCAAGGCTCCCCGGAGTATGTGAGCTTCGTGGTTCCATTATTATGGCCCATATTTCACACCAAGTCAATTTGTGTGTTAAGGCAAGATCATCCAGATTTCCTATTCAGTCTTTTTTTTTTTTTGATGCTTTTGATTTAGTGGTGTGCCGTGAGATTCTTTTTTTTTTTATTTAAAATGGCTCCATAAAGGTTGGGAAACACTGCCTTAGTACGCACGTGAGCAGTAGTTTCAATATAATAATACACTGTGAGGTACTGACTAGCATTATAATCCACCATTCATTTTATACCTTGACATTTCGGTTGGAAAATGGAATTCCTCCAGTTGATGTCGCGCATATTTGCAAAGCCTCGAAATGTTTCAATCAAAGCTTTCATTTGACCTAATTGAGTCTCTCCCACCCACGAGTTCATTAGTATTCCTCTAATTGAATTTCTCAGCTAATGTTGCCGGTCTTGATCTGTATAGGTTCGCTGGCAGGCCTGGAAAATACAATAAACTCTTTAATCGGTGGCGACTGGAGGAGGTGAGTGCATGCATGCATCATCTTAAGTGGGTGATTATTTGTGCTGTGATTCAGCCCCCCCACATGACTTCTGCTTTTTAATGATATCCTTGCATTGCATGGTCTGATTTGCTTTGACAAAAAAAATAATAATAAATCATCCATCCATTAGATAAGTGTCTCATTAAAATAATGAGGTTTTTTTTTCCCCCCCATGATTTGAAATCATTTGGAATACAATGCATGAAACGGTAATATAATCAAATTTCTTTCCATTTATTTGATTATTATTCTTGTTTAAGTGTCACCCCAGTGGCTGCTTGATTGATCTGTGCCTGCAAATGGGTGTCATCATGTTTTTCAAACAAATCTGGAATAACTTCATGGAACTTGGTTATCCGTAAGTACCGGTAATATTTTTAATGTCATGATGTTTTGTTTAGTTTTGTTTTTTATTCTGATTTTTATTCAATGAATATTACATCCTGCTAGTCAAGTGTATGGTTTCAACCGCTGCACTGTTTTGCTGCATTGTCAAGACGTACCGGTAGTCGTTGCTGGGTTGAATCACTGCGTGTACCTGTCGTTACGTCAGTTTGCTGCAGAACTGGTGGTCCCGTAGGAAGATGAAGAAAGGTGGTGGCACCGCGGGGCAGAATGTGGAGAATAAAAGTCAGCTACCTCAATGGGACAGAGACTGGAATCTGCAGCCTATGAACGCGCACGGCCTTGTGGATGAGTACCTTGAAATGGGTGAATCATTGTACTTGTGCAGCTGTGTTGTCATCAGTATTGATCTTGATGGAACAAATCCATCCGGACTCATTGCGTTTGTGTTACATAGTCAATGGATATCAATGTGAAATGTTCTTCCTGCATAGGTTTGCATGGGAACGCAATCTTTTTGGCCCCTCCTAATCAACCACAGAACAATTTACATTGAAGCTGCTAAACCATTACAGCTTAAAAATGCTCATCGAGCCATTAATTTAACATCACTTTTATTATTGCACACTTAAAACTGCTGGTTTAAAAATAACTCAAATTGGGTGACTCATAGCGAACTCAGCACTGGGTCCAAAAGGGACATAGCCAATACTGAATTATTTATACCCAGCACGTTGGGTTAAGGGCGGCCCGGTGGGCCAGTGCTTAGCGCGTCGACCTCACAGCGCAGTACCGGGTTCAATTCAAGCTCCGGCCTCCATGTGTGGAGTTTGCATCTTCTCCCCAGGCCTGCGGGGGTTTTCTCCGGGTACTCCGGTTTCCTCCCACATTCCAAAATCATGCATGGCAGGCTGATTGAACACTCTAAATTGTCCCTAGGTGTGAGTGTGAACATGGATGGTTGTTCGTCTGTGTGTGCCCTGCGATTGGCTGGCAACCGGTTCAGGGTGTCTCCCGCCTACTGCCCGAAAACAGCTGGGATAGGCTCCAGCACCCACCGCAACTCTTGTGAGGATAAGCGGATCGGAAAATGGATGGATGGACGCCGGGTTAAGAATTTGACCCATGATGTTGGGTCAAGATTTTAACCCAACAAGGTCTAAAAAAAAAAAAAAAAAAAAAAAACTCCGCAAAAATGGGATAGTAGGTTATCAGTATTGCTGTGGTTAAAAATCAACACAAATTTTTACTATTTTCTATGAAGAAGAAGCAACTTTCCCCCTGTCATCTGTCGCCACAGCGGGTTACACTTTTTGCACCGGATGCCCCTCCTTACACAGCCCACCCATGACCAGGATTTGAACCCAATCTTCATGTCATAAATCAGTGGCTTTATCCACTCAGCATTTTTGAAGAATTTTATTAAATTTACGTCAGTGCACAGAAACTCCAAAATAATGACCATTTTCTGCTCTCCAGCCAGCCCAAATGCAATCTTCAACCCAAACTGCCGAGTCAAAATTACTAACCCAAACTCAGGTAATAGTCACCCAATCTTCTCATAATCCACAGCTAACCAGCGACTGAGTTAGGAAAACAAACGTTTTTTTAGGTTGTATCACAATTATAGAAGAACCACATAACAGCATGCAACTATGCCATGTTCATTATTTTCAAAAACAATTTTGATCTATTAACATGACAAAAATGTGAAATAACGTCATGAAATACATCATGCTCGCGAGTCTGACCATCGCTATGCGGACACGTTTGGCTTGTCAAACTCGGCTGGAACAGTTTTACTTTGACCAATCAATCAGAGGATGTTATTGTGGGCGAGCTAGCTGGCACATATGTGGCGAATTTCAAATCTAAATGGTTAAAGAAACAGTCTTTTTGCCAATTTGTAAGTTAAATCGGCCTGTGGCCTTGACTTGCTTGGCAGCAGATGTGAATGCAGTGCACGCAAAGAGAAATGCAACAAAGTGAAGAGAATGGAATAGAATAGACAAGTTCACGGGACACATATTGGATTTGGAATTCAGCTTGTAAATGCGAGTCAGTGTTTCTGATAGACCAGCAAACAAGGCCAACTGGCCTTGATGGAAAAAAAAGGCATGCAGACACAGAAGAAGACAATTTACTCAGAAAAGCATCCTGTAAAAAGTCAATTTTCCAAAAGAATTGCTGCTCTATTAAATACAATATGAAATCAAAGTATTGTTTCCTCTCAGTCCTCCAGTTTGGCTTCACCACCATCTTTGTCGCTGCGTTCCCGTTGGCTCCGCTCCTGGCTCTGCTCAACAACATCATCGAGATCCGTCTCGACGCCTACAAGTTTGTCACCCAGTGGAGGAGACCCATGCCTGCCCGGGCCACAGATATCGGTGAGCTCGATCGCTGACTACCACTTTATTCAAAAAGCAATCATAAAGAACAATTCACAGTTTTGTAAATATACGCTGTTTCATGTCTGTGTTGCCCCCGGCATTTAAAATATTTATGACATACCTTTCAGGTATCTGGCACGGGATCCTTGAAGGTATCGGCGTGCTCGCTGTCATCACCAACGCCTTTGTCATCGCCATCACCTCAGACTACATCCCTCGTTTTGTATATGCCTTCAAATACGGCCCCTGCATGGACAGGGCGTACCGGCACGATGATGAGTAAGATTTAAAAAAAAAAAAAAAAAAAAAAAAAGGATGTGAACCTTCACCCAGCACTGTGACTGAACTTCAGGTGTACTAAATGTCTCCTTTTGGCCGTGTAGGTGTTTGCGAGGCTACATGAACAGCAGCCTGTCTGTGTTTGACATGAGCGTGCTGAAGAACAGCAGTGAGTCGGAATACTGCAGATACCGAGACTACAGAGCTCCGCCCTGGAGCAAGGTGCCCTACGAGTTCACTCTGCAGTTCTGGCACGTCCTGGCTGCCAGACTGGCCTTCATCATCGTCTTTGAGGTATGGCGACTCTTCCATGTAAAGTGAAAATAAATAGCTCTTCTAAATCCGACAGACGACCGAGAACATTGTGAACAACCCTCACAAATGATTGGGCAAACAATATCTCCATCCAGGCATCCATTTTCTAAACCGCGTATCCTCACATGGGTCGCGGGCGCGCCGGAGAGCTATCCCGGTTGTCTTTGGGCAGTAGATGGGATTACACCTTAAACTGGCTGCCAGCCAATCGCATCGCATTAAAATGAAATGCTCATTCGTGTAGACATCCGAGCTCGGAGTGTTGGCTTTACATGCTCGTTACGTTCTGCACTGAAAAAAAAAACTACTTGATTTTCGGTTGCACGTGATCCAGATATCACATATGATTTGTTTATTTTTGCGGAAAACACGGGAAGCTTACATTGGTACGCCACATTTTAATCACGTGCACATTCAAATCAAGTCAAGCCAAAGTATTTTTTTTTCCAGTGAACTGGGATGATGAGTGTGACCTCATATTGGTGAATGCTTTCCTCAGCACCTGGTGTTTGGCATCAAATCCTTCATTGCGTACCTCATTCCGGACATGCCCAAGGACCTTTGTGACCGGATGCGCAGGGAGAAGTACCTCATGCAGGAGATGATGTACGAGGCGGAGCTGGAGCACCTGCAGAAGGAGCGCAAGAAGAACGGACTGCGTTATCACCACGAGTGGCCTTAACTTTTTAAACCCTCACATGTACACCCCCCGCAGCCCCTCCTAAAACGACATCCAGCCTTCCACGCCTGCCTGTTTAACCTTCAGCAGATTCACCAAAGACTTCACATATGACGACACCCCCACCACTCTAAAGCTGCTTCACCCTGAACACTCCCTCCCTCGCCATCTGTTGCAGAGTTGGCGCCACCCTCGTGTTCCACCACCCTCCTCGGTCCATCGCCTGGCTTCCTGCGGCAGCTTCTTCCCACCTCAATCTCCCCCCCATCCTCCTTCTGCTGTGTGTCATGGCCTCACTACCATCTGTAATGTTTACTATGCAGATGAAGGGCTGCAAGCGGTTCCCTTCGTCAGCCATCTCTCTCTCTCTCTCTCTCTCTCTCTCTCGCTCTCTCTCTCTCTCTGTGTGGCAGCTAGCACTCGTCTGCTTGGACTCGCCGCATGTTTTTCGTTTTCTCGCCGAGCATCAGCAGAACCGCGGTGGTTCGCGCTCGTTTTCCAAATAGAACGGACGACGTTCCTGCAAAAGTGACTGCATATCGCCCTCAAAGCATGCTGAATACTCTTTGTGGCAAGATGTAAAGCAACAGCACTCATCATGGAGAAATGTCCACGGCAGCCTAGAAAGTGCATGGTAGTGTTGTTGTTGTATCCCTTCTCGGTGCCTGGTTTGTGTGAGCTGTGCGCGTGCGTTTGTTTGTTGTACTACTGTTGAGCTTGACTGCCTTGAGTTCGCCGGATGTGAACTTTTCGCGATATGATTGTGCCTCCAGTTGTGCGCCGACATCACGTGTGCCTGTTTGTGCTGCACATTCGCTTTTAAAGTGCAACGCGTCCTCTCTCCGACTCTTAACTTGCTCTGTTGAAGAAACTTTTAGACGCTGGAGCGAGTTTGTTTTGGACGTGACTCACACGCACTTAGGTACCCACTGCGGGTCTAATGGCTCTAAAACAACAGTGTCTGTTGATACATAGCTCCTATTATGAGCGACGTATGCACGATGGAGCTGCAAATCTGCTTTCCCCTCCACTTTCTACGCTCATGGCCTGTTTTTCATTTGTTATTGGAAGGGCTGGAGCATGGTTGAAACTTGGATGGTTTGGACATACCTGTGGCTTGGATGTTCGCTGCACAAAGAACATCGATCCACTGTTGCTCCCTCACGAAAAGAAAGAAAAAAAAAAGCACTTACACATATATTCTCGAGCAAAGAATCCCAGCCAGCCGCGGTTTTAGCTCCGCTGTGACGCTAATTGTTCTAAAAGTTTCAAAATTTGGTCGTTCCAAAGAAAAGTCGCCTGTCAACGTCTTTACCAGTGCGCAACGACTTGGGAAAGAGGAGTGACACATTTTGAGGCAAAACCACAAGCAGTCAAATTACAAACCAAAATATACTGTCTAATTTCCAGTTAGAATACTGTATGTCTTTATACAAACATTTATATATACAAAGCAAAACGGTCAACAAAATAACTAGGTCAGGATGTTAATTGCTTTGCTGGTCAATTTCTCTTGCACAACTTCAATTCCGGTGAGGGTTTTCGTCAACGGTGACTAAAACGTGACGAGACGTCTGTGAGTTGACGAGACGAGACTGGACAAAAATCTTCGTGGGTAGTCTGCCAGACGATCACAATGCTGCTGTTCATCGGAAGATCTTGTGTGTGTTAGAAGTTCTTGTGTGTGTGTGTGTGTGTGTGTGTCTGCGTATTTTTTTTGTGCTCATTGAATATCGAATGCTAATGACGAAGTTTTTGCGACTTTTTTGTTTTAATCTGTCGGGGAAAAAAATTATATTGCAGATGCAAGAACTAACTCTAGGCCGGTCCAAAATATTATTGTTGCTTTGAACCCCTTTTCTTTTCTCTTGTTATTTCTAGTAATAGGTAATCATTTTCTATTTTGACTGGAAATGCGATAAGTATACATGTTCGGGTTTTGACTTTTACCTCAAAGTGTGTAATGACAGCTGCATTGGAGCCGAAACCCCAACAGACGTGATATTTTGAAGACAGATGGCCCACAATTTCCAAAATAAATGTTACATTTACACAAAGCAAACGAGGGACAAAAAGAAAACCAATACTGGTTCACAGCCCTTGGGAAAGAGATTTTGTACTGTTCATTTGTTTCTGTCAAGTAATCGAATTATGTTGTCGTTCCATGTGTGGATAGGGTTCATAATGTCTTTATTAATGTTCCTGTTATTTGTTTTGTTTCGGGTTTTTTTTTTTTTTTTTTTTTGCTTTTTTGCTACTTGTACTCACCCACAGATGTCCTGTCTGCATTTCTCAGGTGTCCTCTGAATGTTTGCTGATGATCAACTTTTCATATTTTCTACAATGGTCCATATGCAATGATGCACCCACCTAAATCTTTTTTAGTTTTTTTTTTGTTTGTTTGTTTGTTTGTTCTTTTGGGGGGTTTATAAGGTAATCTTCATCATATTCCTTCTGACATTTAACGTCCATTCCAAAAACCAAAAAAAAAAAGGAACAACAAAAGATATTGCTTTCATGCTATTCTATCAGATAATTTCATTTTAAATCGTCGTCCCCCCTACTAGAGAGAGACTCTAATCTTGAGGAAGCTAGTCCAGGTTCCCTGCTATGTGAAGACTGAAAATCTATGCATGTTGTAATCCTTGTACAGTCCAGTTTGCATGATTTCGTGCCTCCTTTGGGCAGCTCTAACATCAGTAAGTTTGTCTTTAAAAACATATCACAAACACAACATTTTTTCAACACTGAGGATTTTGGAAAGCCCAGAAAAGACTCATGTTTGCTGGAGGGAGTGAATTTTATACAGGGCCGCTATTTTCTAGATCAAAAAACAAACACATGAACAGTTAATAAATCAAAGGTAAGTTTTACAAATCTAGCCCGGCCCCCCTCCCCCTCCTAACTGTCATGGATGAGCTCCTTCACACAAGTATGACGCCTGCACAGTGAAAAGAACGGTGTTCCTAATGCCTCCTACTGCTGTTGGCAATAGCACAAAGCGAGTGTTGTAATGATTACTGGGAATAGCTTGACATTGCGCTCTCTGAAAACTTTTGAGTGGAATTTACTTGAGAAGTGGATGCAGAGACACAGAAGTGTTAGCCCATGCATTTGGATGAGCGGTAGGATATGACATGAGTGTATTCGTAACATGGTTTACTTCGTTCTTGTTTACATGTAAAAAAATAAATATATATATACTGTATTGAAATGTATAAAAACAATGTAACATAAGGTAATTTGGATATCACTCTTTTCTGTAATAAACCATTGATTGTATCTTTTAAATTGAAATCTGGTGTGTATATTTGCTGTGCTGTGTTAGTGTTGCTGATGCTATGGGTGTCATTCATTCATTCATTCATTTTCCGATCCGGTTTATCCTCACAAGGGTCGCGGGGGGTGCTGGAGCTGGTGCCCAGCTGTATTCGGGCAGTAGGCAGGGGGACACCCTGAACTGGTTGCCAGCCAATCGCAGGGCAAACATAGACGAACAGCCACTCACGCTCACAATCACACCTTGGGACAATTTCGAGTGTTCAATCAGCCTGCCATGCATGTTTTGGGAATGTGGGAGGAAACCGGAATACCCGGAGAAAACCCACGCAGGCACGGGGAGAACATGCAAACTCAACACAGGAAGGCCGGAGCTGGGATCGAACCCACTGTGAGGTCGACGCACTAACCACTGGACCACTGGGCTGGCCGTGCCCAACATGTATGTGGAAAAAAAAAATCTGGATTGTGTGTGAGAGAGAATCCTGAATGAAGTGCCTCTCATACATTCCCTACGGTTTTGTATCAATACACTAATACCGATATTGGTAGAAATCGTTTTTGCCCAATGTCTGAGTGTATGCCGTGAAAAATGTTGATATTTTCATTGGATTTGCTGAAGGCCCACAAGAACGAAGCCATTTAATAACCAAAATTATGCAAGAGGTGTGCATCTATCGAAGTGGTACAAATTGGTGTTGATCAAAACGAATTTTCTTCGGCTTTAGCTGAGGTGGTTGTCCCACCGACTGACGTTCTAGCAGTGCTATTCAGTGCTGCGTCTGCACAAAGATTTTGCGGATTATGTTTTATGGAGCAAAGTGATTTATTCCTTTGCTCCCTCTGCAATTATAAACCAATATTCCACTTTCTCCCCCCATATGTATGAGACCCTGTCGAAATCTTGTTTTTATATGGCAAAACTACTCCTTGAGAAGGAAGAACAGCTTTTCCGCTGTTGTTTTGAAATCCTGAAAAAAAAAAATCTGCTGACATTTCTTGCAGCTTGGAACAACGCGTTTTATTTACTTGCAAAGTTACTGCGTGTTCATGCAACGAAAAATCAGTTTACCTGCTGGCACAAAAATACACCTCGGAGTCGTTAATGAAATCTTATCCTCTCGCTCATCCAGAGCAGCAAAAGTAGTTTGCCACAGGGAAAATGTAATCCTTTAAAGACTTTTCCATTTGAAAATGACAACCTGGACTAAAGCGAGCATGGAAATGAAGACAGACATTAAGAACTTAAATCCACACTGTTACTGCAAAATCCAAAGATAATCTCCTACATGTCCATTAGACTCTAACAAAATTAGACGGTGACTACTGGGCTGGAAAATGGTGTATGACGTGTCTGCAAGTGTGATTTATGCCTCTTTTCACATAAAGCAGCAATTTGGAATTGCTGTACACAAATCATCATTTAAAAAAAAGAAATAAATAACATTTGCAGAGCAAAGTCCAGTTTTAACGTTTCCGGGACAGACGACTTGTGTTGCAGTGTGGTGTAACACACAAACATATTTAGTAGACATACTTTTAAAAGTTATAAGATTGTGTCAAGAAACACTTGAAGATACTTCTTCATGAGATTGAGATGATTTGTCCAAAATTTGACTTTCTTAACATTTAGAATCCAGTTTAGTTTAGAAACTGTGAAACAAAACTTTAGCGTATTGATCTGTTATAATTGACCCAACCAATCACGGCGCACCTGTTTTGTGAGTTCGGTCATGTGACTTTCGCAATCTGAGCCGTGATTGGTCGTCGCCAGTGCTCTTAGCAACTGTGATGTCATTTTCAGTCTACTGATAGTGACAAAATGGCCGCCCCCTGCAGTGGATGGAACAGATGGATTTTGCTGCTTAACTCATATTCCACAAACACAATGATAATCAGAATACCGTGTTGAGACCAATGGCGCCGCATCGAACATATTATGGTAAAGAACATTTTTAACTTTAACAGCTCTATGAGCATTTTTTCCCCCCCATAAAAGCAGACGGGATCCTGTTGGTGATTTTGAGTTTTCCAGCAGGTTGTAACTTTCCGCATGGCTAAAAATGTACTTCATATGTGGGCCATGTTTTATCCATCAACGCTATTGTAAATTGTCCGAATTTTTCTCATTCTTCATAGCTGTAAGCGCTGTCACACACCGCTTTCCCTTTCATGCACCGACAAAGTTGTGAGGTCATGGTTGTCGGAAACGAGGCTATATGATTGATACTACAGTACACACATGGCACACATAAAGAGAGCAGCTTAGCGGGAGAGCCCACGGCAATAAATCAAGCAAAAAGTCAAACATGAAAAGGCCGAGATGGTAGGAATGACCAATATGGGAGACAAGAGTCACAATGCTCGATTCTCGATCTCATCAAAAGGAACTGTTCCAGCGAATGCCTTTATTGCTCCGTAATGCTGAAATATGTTTCACATTAACGCATCCAATGTCTTCACCAACAAGGGAAACTCAATGAAATTTAATTAAAAGTTTCGAATAACATCACTCTTGGAACGACCCCTCCAATTAGACATGCTGATTTTGTCAACACAGCACAATGAAGACCCTGAAGTTGCTCTCAATTTCGAAAATGAAGTGTATGCCAAGAAGGGAAAACTTGTATAAACAAACCAAAAACAACTGGCTTGTAAATGTTGACAAGATGCTATTACCGAGTCGAGAAATTCATTGAGGACTATAACTTTGGTTATGACAGGCTTTAGGCGGCTTTTTTTGCTACATTTATTCCAGAAAACCAAGTAGCCTCCGAAATAGAAAAAGAAGAGGGACAATATGCACTGGAGACCGTACAAACTCACACTAAATGTAGTGAGTCTCTGGAGCTGTCCCAGTATTTGTCCAGTTTTATTAGAACTGGATATTGGTAAGTGTTTGGGGCCAACAAGGCTTTCTCTGCTGGCCTCAGCACTAACAGGAGCACTGACCTACATTTCCAAGCCAAAGTCTCATATTTGTTCTATGAAATTGTATTCAGGGGCACTCAGGTCATTCAGACATCAACAAAAAAAGAGTTTCTTTCACCTTGTACGGTGTGATTCAGTAATATTTGTCATTTCTCGGATAAAAATATATGCCTGTGAATATTGTCTTTCGACATACATGCGTTGCTGCGCTGTCTTTGTTTTTTTGTTTGCTAATACTATGCGATAGACCGTCGATGGCACTTCCCATCATGTGTTAGCATTAAGCTCTAAAAATACACAATGAGTAAATCTCTCTTTTGAAGTTTAGTTTGGCAGTAAATCTCAACTGGGAGTGGCATAAACAGCTTGAAGCCTCATTTTTTTGAAAATTGCTTCAGGATGCCAAACTGCTGCTTGTGAAGTTCTGCTTGATTTCCATCTCCTCCCGATGTACGTGACGCATTTCTGTGCTGTGATCGAGTTCTTGATATCGTATTGATGGTGGTATTAAGAGGTGGATTAAGGCCCAGCTACCAATTGCAGCACCCGCCGCTGGAACTGGGCAATGTTTCTTCATTAAAAGAACAGCGACGAGCAACACTGCAGGCGGAGGAGGGTTCATAGTATTTGGACGAATACTGTTGTGTTTGGCCCCAGAAAACGCCGGTTTGCTATTGCATCCAGCTAGTAGCTCATTTAAATCAGAACTAATTTTAAAAACAATGTCAGCCTGAAGTAAACCAGTGCGGATGAAAAGTATTGCAACAGCAATTTTATCGGACCGGATCAACACCACTGAAGACTTTTCTGGGTGGAAAGCATCTCCTCACTGGTCTGGCTTCTGTTTACTTTATTCTGAAGTGCCTGCCCTTTCCCCAAATAGTTTCTATTCGCCTTTTCCCAGACATTTGTGAAGCAAGCCATCTGGCAGCTTCAGGTAAGAAAAATACTCAACACTTGGTCAAATTTTTCACACCAATGACACATAACAGCGCAAACCATTAACGACCAGGACTGTGCATTTTCACCTCATTATTTTTGCAAAGCAGCTCTGTGGTTTCCAGGAGAAATGAGGCTCACTTACGGGATGTTGTAAGGACCTAAGGATGAACAAAGGTCAATTGCCGCATATGTGCGAGTGGTTTATTTTATGATATAAAGATACATTTGAAGCAGTCGAACTGCTTTTTGCAGCCACATCAAATAACTATGCACATTTGTGCACTTATTTTTAACTGTGTGGGTAGGCAGACAAAGGGAGTGTTTCAGAATTCTGCGAAAAAGTACAACAAGATGAGTGTTGAATCACGACAGGGGAGCGACACCAGTATAATAAATATATCTTTTGAGAAATGTTTACCCAGTCCTTCACTGGACTCCTCGGTGTGCACAATACACAACAGTAAATCTGTTTTCTTCAGTATTCCTTCTCAAATTTCACTCACAAGTTCTGCTCTACCTTGCAAAATCAGTGTTAAATCTCAACTCATTTGCTGGTGTCCTAGCCCTGACTATGTCTAAATACTGACGCAGCAAAAAAATCTAAATCCATTTTGGTGAATTTGATTGGGGCACTGGTAGACACATTCTGAACTCTGTGGATATTTGTGCTGGGTGTCAAGAGTCTTTCATTCCTATGAACTCTGAATCCTTGTACTATATATTTTTTAATCATCCCACTAGGTGGCACAGCTATGGGAGGCAGGGGCGGGGGGGTGGCAAAGGGCCTAAGGATGAACAAAGGTCAATTGCCGCATGTGTGCGAGTGGTTTATTTTATGATAGAAAGATACATTATAAGCAGTCGAACTGTTTAAATGATCTGCTTTTTGCAGCCACATCAAATATCTATGCACATTTGTGCACTTGTTTTTAACTGTGTGGGTAGGCAGACAAAGGGAGTGTTTCAAAATTCTGTGAAAAAGTACAACAAGATGAGTGTTGAATCACGACAGGGGAGCGACACCAGTATAATAAATATATCTTTTGAGAAATGTTTACCCAGTCCTTCACTGGACTCCTCGGTGTGCACAATACACAACAGTAAATCTGTTTTCTTCAGTATTCCTTCTCAAATTTCACTCACAAGTTCTGCTCTACCTTGCAAAATCAGTGTTAAATCTCAACTCATTTGCTGGTGTCCTAGCCCTGACTATGTCTAAATACTGACGCAGCAAAAAAATCTAAATCCATTTTGGTGAATTTGATTGGGGCACTGGTAGACACATTCTGAACTCTGTGGATATTTGTGCTGGGTGTCAAGAGTCTTTCATTCCTATGAACTCTGAATCCTTGTACTATATATTTTTTAATCATCCCACTAGGTGGCACAGCTATGGGAGGCAGGGGCGGGGGGGTGGCACGCACAAATAAGGGTAGGGACGTTCTCCAAGGGCCCACTTCATGACACAAATGTGCATCCTCCCTGTCGAGGGTGTAGTGAGCGACTAGCGTACTAATATAAAGAGAATGAAAGGATTCGCTTTGAGTGGCAATGATCAAGATCAGCTGTGGTCACTCCCACAGCGGCGCAGCACACCCTCTCACAGATTTGCCAGCCTGTGCTCGTCTATAAATTGTCAACATCGGGTCTAATGGCATCCGTGCAGAAATAGGCCATGCCCTGCGCAGGATTTATGCTGATCACTATCTGTGAGTTCAGAGGCATAATTACTTTGGGCATGCATTATGGCAGTGTAAGTGTTTGGGAAAAAAAAATACATGGACGGGAACTACATCAAAATAGGTTCTTAGTCATACTATTTCTGGATGAAAAACAGATGCATCAGATATCTGACTGCAGTCTTAACAGAGCAAATCGAGCCACTTTGTTGAAATGTGCAATAATCAACACACATATATCAAATCTAAAAGTTCTGAGGTACACTGAGCACTAAATAAAACAATAGGCAGACACTTCTGTGGTGGTGGTTACCTGCATATTGGGAATGCGCATGCAGGTTGTTTCAAGTGTGCAGTAAACGTGACCCCTAATATATCAAATCTGCGAGCCAGTAATTTTTTAAAATCAAAATTAGAATTGGCATTGCGGTGTAAATCCAGCCAACTATTCCGTGTAAACACAACATTTAACAGTGAGCAGACTGCGTGGAAGGGTTAAGATAATGTATTGTGAATTCTGTCCAAATCAAATCATTGTTGACATGTAACAAGCACGAGGTCGCCTGTGAGTCAGAGGCGCGACTCCCACACAGCCTGCACCATCCTAGTCCTTCACCTCCCACGGATCAACACGGCGAGGAAAACTCTTCACCGCCGGCTGAAAGGTATCCGTCTCACTACACTTTAAACACACATACACACAATATTAGGTATTAGATGATCAACAAAAACATCGCCCACAACTTCACTGTGAATACACCAAATTCTGGCTCCTGTCCTTGTGCCAAAAGGCACTTTATTTATTCAGATGACACTAATAACGGTTGCCAAAGTCAGTGACAGTATTTATTCATCCACACGTTTTCTGTAGCTCTTGGCCACAGTACGGTGAACTGGAGCCGAGCCCAGCTGTCTTTCGGCGAGATATTCAGATTCGCATGTTGAACAATTGAAAGCTAACGTATGTTTTTGCAAGGCAAGGTGAAGCTGGAGTACCCAAGAAAATCCTGGAGGTGAGATAAGTACTCACACTCTGTAGTTCCAGTGTGTTAAAGAGAAAAATAGACTAGACCAGTGGTCCCCAACCACTGGTCCGCGGGTCATTTGGTGCCGGGCCGCACAGAAAGAATAAATAATTTACATTCCTTCCGTTTTATTCATTTTGGAATCTGAAAGGTGTTTTATTTTGAAAAATTACCGGATTCTCTGTTATATCAGTCTATACTATGCCACTCTTGACGCAGGTGAATGCGCGCTTCTCGGCCACTTGATAGGTTACCGCATAAAAAAACAAACGTCTTTGATACTAATATATCAAATCTGCATCACTTGAAAGCCAATACAAGCCAGTAATTTTTTTAAATCAAAATTAGAATTGGCATTGCAGTGTAAATCCAGCCAACAATTCCGTGTAAACACAACATTTAACAGTGAGCAGACTGCGTGGAAGGGTTAAGATAATGTATTGTGAATTCTGTCCAAATCAAATCATTGTTGACATGTAACAAGCACGAGGTCGCCTGTGAGTCAGAGGCGCGACTCCCACACAGCCTGCACCATCCTAGTCCTTCACCTCCCACGGATCAACACGGCGAGGAAAACTCTTCACCGCCGGCTGAAAGGTATCCGTCTCACTACACTTTAAACACACATACACACAATATTAGGTATTAGATGATCAACAAAAACATCGCCCACAACTTCACTGTGAATACACCAAATTCTGGCTCCTGTCCTTGTGCCAAAAGGCACTTTATTTATTCAGATGACACTAATAACGGTTGCCAAAGTCAGTGACAGTATTTATTCATCCACACGTTTTCTGTAGCTCTTGGCCACAGTACGGTGAACTGGAGCCGAGCCCAGCTGTCTTTCGGCGAGATATTCAGATTCGCATGTTGAACAATTGAAAGCTAACGTATGTTTTTGCAAGGCAAGGTGAAGCTGGAGTACCCAAGAAAATCCTGGAGGTGAGATAAGTACTCACACTCTGTAGTTCCAGTGTGTTAAAGAGAAAAATAGACTAGACCAGTGGTCCCCAACCACTGGTCCGCGGGTCATTTGGTGCCGGGCCGCACAGAAAGAATAAATAATTTACATTCCTTCCGTTTTATTCATTTTGGAATCTGAAAGGTGTTTTATTTTGAAAAATTACCGGATTCTCTGTTATATCAGTCTATACTATGCCACTCTTGACGCAGGTGAATGCGCGCTTCTCGGCCACTTGATAGGTTACCGCATAAAAAAACAAACGTCTTTGAAAAGTTTTTTCGGGAACGGGAAAAGGCGCCGCCAGGGGACAGAAGAGAAGCCTACGACTTTCAAGAAAGACAAGGCCACATTTAATAGACAGTATCAGGAGTCCCATTTCAAATACGGCTTTATCTCAACGGGAGATTCACTCACACCAAGCCTACTCTGCATAATTAGCGGCAATGGTGAGTCGTATTTTTCATGCACTTTTTATTTGCGGCGTATCTTATTTTGAAGGCACGTTTAAACGTTATCATAGCGACCAGAGAATGTTGCGGCCAGGTAGGACGTTCCTCGTGTCATGATTTGTGTTTATTTTTGTGTTTCGAAAATACCACACTTTTCATGCAGGTCATATCATATTAAATTGATGTATCTATCCGGCCTTAAAGGCCGGTCCCTGAAAATATTGTCTGACATGAAACTGGTCCGTGGGGCAAAAAAGGTTAGGGACCTCTGGACTAGACTAGCAAAAGTGCTGATTATACTCTTATATATATATGTGAGGGGTACCAGTGCTTTAATAACTTTATGCATCACTCCGTTTTACACATACAGTAAGTTAAAGTAAAAAGTAGAGACAAAAATGAAGTTTTACTGGAATAAACTTCTCCACACACAAAGTAGTCCCCTCTTTCACATTTATAGTGCTGGTACTGAGACAGAAACAAGCTAGCTACCATTGGTTCAGTCTTCTTTCAAAACATTGTCTTTCCATAGCTTTGCTAATGTTGCAAACTTGTTCACTCAAAAACTGTCAAGTTAGCTCACGATAAAAACTGGCAAAAATATACACCTTCCCTTTTTTTTCATGTTCTGCTCATTTCCTTTTCATCCTTTTTGTTTGAAGGCCCACTTCCTGTCAGCCATTTCTTGGGCCTCAGCTTGACACGGCGGTTTTCACCTGTCCCCTTCTATGTTTAAGCAGCTCTGCTCAGATGGGTACTTATTGTTGCAGTACTCGACAGCATTTTGGAACTGGATTTTGGCCAACCTGTTCTCGTACCCTGTCAGTTTATCCAGCTTCTGCTTCTGTTTGCCGCCTGACTGGGTTTGTAAATCCCTCACTGACTTTGACTTGGATTTGGATTGCGGACTACGAGTTTTCCCCCCTGGCAAATCAGCAAGCACCACGGTACAAATCTCTGTCTGCCTCTCGTGTCTTCTGCAGTTCTCCTCAACCTTTGCCCGAGTCCCTTCTTGCCCTGTGCCAAACTGTTTCAAAGGACTTTTATCATCTTGTCGTTCCATCAGAAGCACCTGTGCTGTCCTCATTTCAGCCATAGAGCCTGAAAATGTAAGTAGTCGCTTTTGACAAAGCAGTAGAAAGTGCCAATATCTGTTTTTAATTCTAACGAATGAAAAATGTAAAAAGCCATCGGAATACTCCGGGAAAGTACAGACACCTGAGAAATCGACTTCAAGTATTTGTACTGGAAAATTAGTGCAAGTATGGGCAGGACATGCAAACTTCACACAGTGGCTGAGATTCAAACTCAGCACAGCTTTACTGTAAGGTAAATGTGCCTACCACTAGGGAACTGAGAGTGTTTTATGTTATTTTCAAAAGTTGTCCTGGAGAACTACTACTCAACCAGTGTTTACTGATAAGAAAATGCACCCTTGGTAGTCAAATTATTCAGTGGTTGACAAAACTGTAACTTTAAGAAAGCATCTTATACGAAATGAACGCGCTTAAAAAGTGAATCAGTCCAAGGATTTCACCCAGTTCATGCAGTTTCAAAGTGCTATGTCAAAGCTCCGACAAGACTGATTAGCCAAAAATCTCCTCTCTGCTCGACTAAACTTTATTTATTTTTTCTCGAGCTTATTGCTTTTGAACTCCAGCCGCCGACATTGCTGTTTTTGCTGCTCACTTGGGAGCCTTCACTGGCGGCTGCTTTCAGGCCCAAGGCAAACAAATCCTGAAAAAAAAAAAAAAACTCCTCTCGTTAAAGACTACAGTTAACGGAAGATTGTTGTCACTCTCTAGCTTTTACAACCTGTGTCTTTACGCAGAGTGACTAAAGGGCAAAAAAAAAAAAATCACATGGCCGTATTCCATGATGTAATTGAACACATGTGGACCAATGACTCGGCCTACTGACACGCTGACATGAAACACTCTCACTCTGTGCTTCCTGCCCTGACAAGTTCAAACGCTGTTCAAACCAAGTATCTACAAGTTCATCAGCTGAACTGTATTAAATAATTGCCTGTTTAGCCTTCTTTCCTGGCTGGTTCTTTGTTTTCATCCACTTCCTGTTTGAGTCTTTGGCCCTGGCTTTTTTTTTTCCCCTACCGCTTTGTCAAAGGAAAGAAAGCTTTGCCGTTCTCGTGGGTGTTTTCATGTCTTTCTTCTCATTCAGTCATCCTCTTGCATCCTGACCCATTTGTTTTTGTCACGCACAAAATAACAAGAGAAGCTGAGGTTTCAGCACTGTGTGGCTCCTCAGTTATGGGGGAGAAAATCTCAAAGTTGACACATGCAGTTTGTCAGTGAGAAATATGTTTGACATTATGGAGGTCCGGGAGGAAGTATATGGAAGAAAAAAAGTCATAGAATAATGTGGGATTCTTTTCTCAGGGGTAAGCAGTGGTTGAACTTCGGATATGATGTCTTGAATGTCCATTTCCCTGTAGGTGGTCTCTTTTAATTCAGGCTTTTTTTTCCCTTGCTGATTTCTGTTCTGATGTTATTGCTCCTGTCAGCAGTGCCTTAGACCGGAAAAAATATCAACCTAACTCGTACCATATCCGTCTAGTTTCATTGAGGTTGTGGGCGAGGCAGTTTTGTCATGCATGACGTTAGCATAATGCGTCAGGTCTCAATTTCGTGAATATCAAAGAATTAACCCTGCACATTTTGGTTTTTTTTTTTGTCTTATTGCACCACTGAACGATGCTCAGTTCATTCAGCTTAAGTCCTTTACATCTGATGCCTCTCCAGTCACTTCAGGTGTGCCCCAGGGCTCTGTGCTGGGGCCCCTGCTCTTCATCATCTACTGACTCAATTTTCCTGAATACAGAAAGGATAATGGATTAACTCTGCATTGTTTTTTTTTTTGTTTTTTTTTTTGCCTTAAAGTTATCACATTTGTGGTTGGAATCTGTACTTTGACCTTCTTTTTTAGTGTTTACATGTCCTCCCTACCGTTTTTTTGTTTTTTTTTGCCTTAAAGTTTTCACGTTCGTGGGTGGAATCTGTACCTTGACCTTCTTTTTTAGTGTTTACATGTCCTCCCTATGTTTTTGTGGGGTTTCTTCAGGAACTCCGGCTTCTTCCCTCTTCCCAAAAACATGAATGTTGGGTTCATTGAATATTCTCAATCATATGTGACTGTGTGATTGCAAATGGATGTCAGTCAATTAGAATAGGGATTCAGCTCGCCCATAACCCTAATGAGACCAAGCACTATAGAAAATGAAGGAACCAAACTTCTCGGGAAACTTAAAGCAATGGTATGAGTTAGCATTGAGCTTAGAATTTTGAAAGGGGAATAAAACTGCCACAGCAACAAAATTATTCTTTGCATAATTCATTGGTTGATCTTACCCATTTACTGTACTTATCGAATCGCACAGTAAGCGTTATTTCACTTTTCATTCCAGTATTATTTCCTATGGGGAAACTGGTTGGACAGTGAATCCCAACAATGCCTGAATTGGACCTTTCAGGTTCAACAGTCAAATGCTGCACGCAAGACTGATAGCAGCACAAAGCCAACGGCATGGACTATTATTACTGGCTTTGTGTTCAAAGCTGACCATATGTTTCCACTTGCTGCTGACATGTATGACCACCCTGTGCTGATGTAATTATCCAGGCCAGGATATGCAGCAGATTGGATCATCACCCCGGGGTGTGTCTATGATATAATCATGAGATAGAGTCACTGGGGTGCCACTCTTGCTTTTGTGGCAGGCCCGTGGTGGTGATCCACTTTAATTAAAGCCATCCTCAACACCGTTTAAAAACTGCTCCTGTGTGAACGTAACCCGACTGAGCGTTTCTTCTGAATGTGTTGATTCTGAATGAATGTGAAGAGTGAAATGAATGTTTCTAAGCCTTTTCTCCGCCATATTTTAGACATTAAGTCATACAGTTATATGACACTTGAGAGGGAATTTATAATGCTTCTGCTTATTGTTTCTTTTTGGGCCCATGTACGAGTCAATAAATTGGTATCATGCACTTAGCCAATTTTATAACTAAATGTCATCATTTTTCAGTACTGAGCACATATTGTAAATTGTGAATTCAGTTTGTCATCATTCTGCTTATTTCAGAATAATCCAATTTGGGTCGACTTCAAAGACAGCTGGGATAGGCTCCAGCACGCCAGCGACCCTCATTTGGATCAGCGGTTCAGATAATGGCGGAATGAATGGCTTGTTTTGAGTTTACTGTGCACATGTTCAAACTGAAGATTGCAATCAATCAGTTAATCAAATTTTATCTAATTGCAAACCTCACATTGGTGTGCCTTGAGAAATCATCAGGTGTGTCTTGGGGAAAATTATCCAATTTCATTTAATTGGTAAAAAAATGATTATTCACGTACTCTTGCCCAAAACAGAGTCGTCAATTAGTGAGTTAAGTGAGATGAGATGCTTATTTCAGTATCACGCATAGACAGTGCAGCCTACTTTTGTGACTTTTTTTTGTGGTGTGGCGTGAGCTTGTTCCACTGTAAAATGCTCACATGTGCCTTGGCTCAAAAAAGGCTGCAAAACACTGATGTAATCAACAACCAACCCTTTCTGTAAATCAAAATTGCTCATTATTACCTTCGGAAAGTGATTTTTTGACGATGTATAACGTCTTGCATTGCGCAAATGGTAATAACATGCTGAGTGTGCGAGTGAGTAGCAGCTTTGTGTGGTCAGCATGATGACCAGGGCCGACAAGGGGCCCCAGCTCAGTTTTACCACGCTGTGCCTTTAGGTGGGGAATGGGGGGAGCAGGGGGAGGCTGTGTAACATGAGCCCTGATGAAAACTCTGCGCCTGATCCCACTCCCAGCGCACATGCTGGGTTGTGGAGAGGAGGCGCACGATGAATCCTCTGTTGCTCATCGTGCTCACAAGTCTGCCCCTGAGCGCGGCGGTCTACGACGGCCCTCTGCAAGCCGAGATCTCCAACGGCACTTTCCATCACTTCTACGTCCCGGACGGCGACTACGATGACACAGAAGACCCTGAAAAGTGCCAGATGGTCTTCAGATTCTCAGACGGTTCCCCGTGTTCCGTGGCCGAGGAGGAGAGTGACGCGCTGGTGCGGGAGGAGCTGATCCTCGCCCGGCTTCAAGCGGAGGACTCGGCGCGGCTACTAGAGAGCATCGGGCGGGTGGTAGCCAACGACCTGGACGGAGAGGACACCTACGGCCGCTTCCTCCGGAGAGAGATATCCCAGATCACAGAGGCTTTCTCCGGTGTGGACAAGTCTCTGGAGGAGCTGGAAGTGAAGTTCAAGCAGAGCCAAGAGAGCGAGCTGAAGGAGGAACAACAACTGAGCGGCTTCGTGCTCAAGCAAGTGGGGGACGTCAGAGACAGCCTGAGGGACACGAAGGACATCTCGCTGGGGCTGAGGGACAAACAGGAACTTCTGTCTCTCATCGTTCGCAGCCACGGGAGTAGATTGAGTCGCCTTAAAACACAATATCTTAATCCAGGATCATAGTCCCTTCATATCATTGGGAAGCATCCGTCTGTAAAGTTTCTGGAGATGTGTCATTCAATGGGACCAGCACGCGTATCAGCGCATTTCTCTGAGCCAAGAGGCAGGCTAAGGAAATCAGTGGTGTATATTGATTTCCGCAAGTTGTAAAGGCCCACGGGGGCGTAAGAATCAGTACATTGTTAAGTTTTTATATGGACAAAGCTCTCAGTCCCATTTAAAATAACATACTGGCCTTTAATATCTCCGGATCTCTTTACGACACTCGAGCACAATCTGAGCTTTCTTGGCATGCTTCTCTGATGAATGGACATGTCATCAACAGTGCATGGTTTTCTTGAATGTACTTTATTTTTAGCATCCCAAAAGACAAGTGAGATCTATGGGGTTATAAAAATGGTCAATACAGGTCATAAAAAAAAAAAAAAATCTACTAGACTTTAACTGACATTTGCACCACCTCTATATAATATTTTTTTTGAAGTAAATTAATATGTCTGAAGCTAATTTTAATATAAATACTCCTCCATTGTCTTTTGCATGAATCCGCAAAGCTATAAAACTTTATTTTGTGTTATTTGTTTTTCCGAAAGCAGTGGCAGACTTGAGTGTCCCTTCAAGTGGTCCATCTTAATTGCCGTCTGGGTCCCGTCATTGCCTCCCAGCTCCATCTGGAAGCATTTCACTTTAATGATAAAATACTTTTATCGGAAGGAAAACGCTCTTTGGAGTCACTTTGTAACAATGTGGGGTTTGTGTAAAATTATGATGATTATTATGTGCATTTTGTGAAGAACTGACTTTAAATATAATGGGAAATAATTCCCAAAGCTCAAATGTCTTCCTCTATGGTGTTACGCAATATCAGGTGTTAGGAAAGTAATGTGTGACCTTTGTAGACGAAACACGATGCCATTAAATGTATACTGCAGAGGTATCTCCTGTATTCTATATTGAAACATATATTTGTTAATAAAAACGTAAGCTCACAGTGACTTTCCAAACAGCACGTATTTTTGGCCAACATTGCCAATATGCCTGCGCTTAAACATATCCCATGCCTGCCAATGACTGTAATTGGCCATATATTTTCTGTCGCTGTCTGTTCCTGTCCGCAAAAGGCACACAGCAATAAATGTGCCTGAGATGATGCCTGAGCATGTTTTTTTAGGGGGGCCAGATGTGCTGCCCGCCAATGGGCTTCAACTGGGTGTGATTTCCTCTGTCTGGTTTCCCTCACACTCCAGCTTCCCCTCTGGGACCCCTTTTTCAAAACAGCTCTGTTTAATACAGCAGCGCACCAATGTAGGCAAGGAGCGCTGTCCGAAGAGGCAGGAGCTCAGCGTACATAGAAACCTTATATGTCTACAAGGCATCGGAAATTTCAGGGGAGCAGCCCATGGTTCTGTTTTCACTAGGTTGCGGGGAAAAAAAAATCCACTGTGTATGTTAAACTTATAGAGGCTCACAAAAGCAACAAGGCGTTTTTTTTTTTTATGGTTGCGGGGAAAAAAAAAATCCACTGTGTATGTTAAACCTATAGAGGCTCACAAAAGCAACAAGGCGCTTTTTTTTTGTAGGGCGGAAGGGGAGGGGACATTAATTCTTCCGACAGAAGCATACTTTTTTGGGGGGGTGGATGAGATGGTTTGGAGCGAGGAGGCCTGCTGCTAAAAGAATGTATTCTCCACACTGACTTATTAAAAGCACAAACAAAGGCAGGTCAGGAATGTGATTCTGGTTCAGAGCTGACCTGAAACACTGAGTCCTCTCAGATGCGTACACAAGACTGACATACTAGATGGAGCCATACTATTAGTCTATTAAATTAAGAATCTGATCTCTTCATGTTACCGGGCCACTTTGGGCAATTTTGTTCTTCTAACTTTTTAGGAACAGTTTTGGGGAGACGGCCCTTTGTCAGTGCAAAAAAATCTAAGTGTATACATTCTCAAAACTGCTGGGCCAAAAGCAGGGGTGGGTAGTGTGGCCAAAAATTGTACTCAAGTAAGAGTACTGTTACTTTGGAATAATATGACTAAGTGAGACTCCAAATAATTCCTTGAGTAAGGGTAAATAAGCAGTCAGTGGAAAAAAAAAACTACCGGATAACTTCAACTGTAACATATTTCAATATTCTGTGACCAAGGCATTTAAAACATCCACAACAATACATGCATTGTGTCCAACAGAAGAAATATTTGCCTTATTCACCAAAATGACTGAATAACGAAACTTTCTCTTGACCAAGTTTATTCAGTACCTATGTTTTATGGTACTGAAGTTGCACTGCAACCAAAGTTAGTGTGTGTGCAGGAGAGAGCCTACAGCATGTACACCAAAAGATGCCCAGTTGACAGTTTGGCTACGTATGACCATAAAACTGTGAGCATATGTCCATCCAAAAGAAGGAAACAACAATAGAAATATCTACAACCGACCTTGCAGAAGTTATTCCCCAAAAAATGGAAGTTGTTATAGCAGCAAAGGGGATTAGATTTTCACTTCCTGTCAGTGTCGAGGCCAGCTCTTCTGATAGATTTGTGATAGTGGGGTTTATTTTTGGAGACGGTGCATCTGCTCTAGCGTGCGACTGTCATGCCGCATTCATCGGGAATGAAAAGAGCTGCCTTGATTTCCCATTATTGAAGTCAGCTGTGACCGCTCCCACGACGGCGCAGCCCTCCCTCTGGCAGAGCCAGCAGCCTGCGCTTCTCTGCAAAATTACCAAGATCGGGTCTTAACCGCCTCAAGAAGTTACGATATCCAGTGTGTCTGCATGCTATAAGTGCTTGCGCCTTTCTCAACCTTTTACCTTATGCTTCTGTTCCTTCTTATACACTGTGCTCGATGAGGTTAAACGCGATAGTAATTGGATGTCTAAATACAGTATTTCAAGGGTTTTATAAAGGCAAACGTTTTAATGAGCGCTATAGGGGTGGTGTAGAGGTTCACATAGCTGACTCTCATGCTGCCTTTTGTGCTAATAAATCAGCCAGGATAGGCTCCAGCACTTGAACAGGATGTGCTCTGTAGATTAGACGAATCTGATGACTTGCTCTGATTGAAGCATACAAAAGTGCTTCGACATGACTATTTTTAAAAGTACTTGTACACCACCATGGTTATCTGCCAGCTACAGTTCGTAAGCACTTCGCACTTTTTATGTGCAGGGAGGCAATAAAATTAGAAACTCAAATGCTCAAGGTGTAAATGAAGTGATTAGACCTCAGATAGAATTTACGATGTGATAATGATCTGTCTGATGATGATTTGCATCTGAGGAGGGTTCGGTTTAAAGCAATGAAACACAGTGATGAGAATCATTCCTACACTTACAACAGGAACTCTTTTGGTATTATTAAATCATGCTATATGAAACAAAATACTCTTTAGTTTGGATGAATCACTTTGGCATAAACATACTTTTTGGCTTTCATTCATCCGTTTATTCGTCTGTTTTCTATTGTCTTAATTGGGATGATGGGTGAACTGGAACCGAGCTTTAAGATGCATAGGAAATCAAAATATAGCGAGGGACTTGCCGTTGTGACCCATAACAGAGGAAAATGTTGGTACATCTACTTACGAAGTCTCTTCATACGAAATTCACAAGTTACGAAACGTCTCAAGTGGAAAATATTGCCTCTTGTTATGAAAGAAATTTCAAGATACGAAAGGTAAAAATACAGTATGGCCTGCAGATCGCAGCTCCGAATTTTCCTGAATGCAACGTAATTAGAGCTGCTCTGCCATTGGCTATTACCGAGCATCATCCTGGCATCCCATTGGCTAAGAGGGACCTCTACCGTATGTGTCTGTGTGTGTGTGGAGATAGATAGATCGGTGTCTGTGCAGCTACTCGTCATTCACCCCTCGGTCATGAGATGTTCCGATAGTTTTACGTAAATGTGAATCACCCACAAAAAGTGTTCACCAGTCGGGTGATCGCTCACTATGCTGATGTTTGCCTTGGACATTTTCGAAGGATTGTTAAAAGCTGACAAAAGCAAAAGTCCTTGGATCAGTTCTTGATAAAACGCCAGGCAGAGAGAGAACTAAAGAGGGCAAAAAACGACGAGGACACAGTTAAAAGTTAAATGACCATCATTTGATTCTTTACTGTATTTTTTGTTTTTTACATTATGCACAACTCTCATTTATTGCGCAATAATCTAATTGTAACATGTATTTGTTACATATTTTGATAGATTTGTATGCTTTAGGAAACATTTGGTTCAGATTTTTTGTAGAGAGGCATTACCTCTCTACTTACAAATTTTCCTAGTTAAGAAATTTCTTCCAGAACCAATTAAATTCATAAGTAGAGGTACCACTGTCATATTTTTAACCACAGCTAAATTGATAACATGGTGAGCCAATTGTTAGTCGCTTTAACTCATCAATACGGTTAGTTTTTACCCCTTGTAGGATCAAAATCTTGATCCAAGATGCTGGGTCGAACCCTTAACCCAATGCGCTGGGTATAAGTAACACAGCTATGTCACCCAATTTGGGCTACTTTTGACCCAGTTGTACGAGTGAAGAATTACTTCTGCATGTGGTGTTGTACAGTTAGTTGTGCACCACCAAAATGCCTGAGGCCGTTTGTGATTTGGCCCGAACTGTTCTGATGCCTTGTTCTTGCGCTGCCTTGGATTTACTGCTACAAACAAGAAAATTTGCTGCCAACAGTTGTATCTTCATCTCAGAACAACACACAACAGAGAAATTGGCTCATTCTAAGATGTAATTTATATTGGAATCTTACGACAGCATGATTGCACTTTTAATGTGAATATGGTTTCGATGTACACGAGGAGTCCATTCTGTGGTTGCAGCTGCAAATAATCACTTAAAGATTTTAAATCTGCTTTCAGTCGCATAGTTGTAAGGAGGAGAAGATTGGGGCAAAGAAATCTCAGGAAATGAGTGAAGTCAGCATTTGGATTTAATGTCACTTAGTTAATCTCCGGTCAACATTGTGGGCAAGTTGTTCCAGTTTTGTAACCGGTGTGCACCTCGTCAGTTATATACATGCAAGTGTCTGGTATGTGTTGCTCTGTTCCATGTTTTGATTAAGACTGCCAATAGAGAAGCAGAAGTAATCACTTTACTACCTCCACCAGTTTCAGTTTTTGAGGTCAATACAGAAGAGCTATCTCCTTTAAAAAAAAAATACCTCATTGAATTTAGCCATAGTTAAATCTACTTTTAGTCGAGGTATTTGTTGCAAGGATTCATTAATAGTTTTTGTCACAAAAGGCACAGACACAAATATTTCTAAACCAATGGATGAAGGACAAGTATGCTCTTTTCTTCAAAAAAATGGAATACGCTCACTGGATAGCCACAATAATAAACAAACATATTGTCAGAGAATACATATTAGACAGTAGTGAAAGTGAGCATTTTTATCATCTTTGCCGAATATTTGATACAGTTGTGCTGGTGGGTGCGCCAGTATGTGCTCCACACAGAATGTTTTGCATGGCTGTTTTATTTTTGAAAAATACTCAGATGGCGAAGACAACCTCAAGAACAACAAAAACACTTCAGTCGGACACAGTTTGGACTTAATGTGCCATATTTTTCCTTTGAATAAACACAAATACATTGGCATACATACGGTTAAAAAGGTACATGTACATAACTTGTGTTGAATGATGCATAATGATACGCGGTTGCCCTTTCAAATGTGACAGTACACATCATATGTTTTCATATTTAATACAGTTTCCAGGTTGTGCTATTCTCTTTCTTTAGTTAGATGTTGGGTGGGTGTTAAGAAATGTGCTGAACTACAGTACTGTCCTCTTGGAGAGCAAGCAATAACACCGATCGGCTCGTCATGAGAGGGGTCATCTTCTGTCCAATATCCACCCCCCCCCTACCCCTTGTGTTCTTGTGCTTTCTTTGTGCCACGATGCACACTGCAGAATTCCTGCACTGTCCTGGACGCAGGTCATCGTGTTGTCCGTTTCGGGTTAGCGTGGACCCATCACACGCAGCCGTTCTCCTGCCGCGGCTTCTGGGCCACGGGGGTGTGCGGTGGGTAAAGGGAGGGGGCGAGTGTGCACAGGAACCCGGCCAGCAGAGTCAGTCCCAGTCCGCCCCACGCGCAGAACATGGACCAGCCATAGCCGTGGCTGATGTCCTCCGGTATTCCAAACATGTAGCGAGGGTAACGCGACAGTTCAAAGTTGATTCCAGCCACACATGTGCAGAGAGAGATGATGCAGCATGTTCCTGTCCACAGGAAGTGAAACACATGACAGATTTTAATTACCGTAGTCAAACTCTCTCAAAAGAAACACAACAATGAA